CAGTGCCGTACAGAACGCCCTAGTTGTAACATGATATGTCTCAGTACCGTACAGAACGCCCTAGTTATACCATGATATGTCTCAGTACCGTACAGAACGCCCTAGTTGTAACATGATATGTCTCAGTGCCGTACAGAACGCCCTAGTTGTAACATGATATGTCTCAGTGCCGTACAGAACGCCCTAGTTGTAACATGATATGTCTCAGTGCCGTACAGAACGCCCTAGTTGTAACATGATATGTCTCAGTGCCGTACAGAACGCCCTAGTTGTAACATGATATGTCTCAGTGCCGTTCCGAACGCCCTAGTTGTAATATGATATGTGTCAGTACCGTACAGAACGCCCTAGTTATACCATGATAAGTCTCAGTGCCGTACAGAACGCCCTAGTTATACCATGACATGTCTCAGTACCGTACATAACGCCCTAGTTGTAACATGATATGTCTCAGTGCCGTACAGAACGCCCTAGTTGTAACATGATATATCTCATTACCGTACAGAACGCCCTAGTTGTAACATGATATGTCTCAGTACCGTACATAACGCCCTAGTTGTAACATGATATGTCTCAGTGCCGTACAGAACGCCCTAGTTGTAACATGATATATCTCATTACCGTACAGAACGCCCTAGTTGTAACATGATATGTCTCAGTACCGTACATAACGCCCTAGTTGTAACATGATATGTCTCAGTGCCGTACAGAACGCCCTAGTTGTAACATGATATATCTCATTACCGTACAGAACGCCCTAGTTGTAACATGATATGTCTCAGTACCGTACATAACGCCCTAGTTGTAACATGATATGTTTCAGTACCGTACATAACGCCCTAGTTGTACCATGATATGTCTCAGTGTCGTACAGAACGCCCTAGTTGTAACATGATATGTCTCAGTGCCGTACAGGACGCCCTAGTTGTAACATAATATGTTTCAGTTCCGTACAGGACGCCCTAGTTGTACCATGATATGCCTCAATGCCATACAGAACGCCCTTGTTATAACATGATATGTCTCAGTGCAGTACATAACGCCCTAGTTATAACATGATATATCTCAGTACCATACAGAACGCCCTATCTATACCATATGTCTCAGTGCCATATAGAACGCCCTTGTTATAAGATGATATGTGTCAGTACCGCACATAACGCCCTAGTCATACCATGATATGTCTCAGTGCCGTACAGAACGCCCTAGTTATACCATGATATGTCTCAGTACCATACAGAACGCCCTAATTATCAGATGATATGTCTCAGTGCCGTACAGGACGCCCTAGTTGTACCATGATATGCCTCAATGCCATAAAGAACGCCCTTGTTATAGGATGATATGTCTCAGTGCCGTACATAACGCCCTAGTTATAAGATGATATGTGTCAGTACCGCACATAACGCCCTAGCTATACCATGATATGTGTCAGTACCATACAGAACGCCCTAGCTATACCATGATATGTCTCAATGCCATAAAGAACGCCCTTGTTATAACATGATATGTCTCAGTACCGCACATAACGCCCTAGTTATACCATGATATGTCTCAATGCCGTACAGAACGCCCTAGTTATAACATGATATGTCTCAGTGGCGTACAGAGCGCCCTAGTTGTAATATGATATGTCTCAGTGCTGTACATAACGCCCTAGTTGTAACATAATATGTTTCAGTACCGTAAAGAACGCCCTAGTTATAACATGATATGTTTCAGTACCGTACAGAACGCCCTAGTTATACCATGATATGTCTCAGTACCGTACATAACGCCCTAGTTGTAATATGATATGTCTCAGTGCTGTACATAACGCCCTAGTTGTAACATAATATGTCTCAGTACCGTACAGAACGCCCTAGTTATACCATGATATGTCTCAGTGCCGTACAGAACGCCCTAGTTGTAATATGATATGTCTCAGTGCCGTACAGAACGCCCTAGTTGTAACATGATATGTCTCAGTGCCGTTCCGAACGCCCTAGTTGTAATATGATATGTGTCAGTACCGTACAGAACGCCCTAGTTATACCATGATAAGTCTCAGTGCCGTACAGAACGCCCTAGTTATACCATGACATGTCTCAGTACCGTACATAACGCCCTAGTTGTAACATGATATGTCTCAGTGCCGTACAGAACGCCCTAGTTATAACATGATATGTCTCAGTACCGTACATAACGCCCTAGTTGTAACATGATATGTCTCAGTGCCGTACAGAACGCCCTAGTTGTAACATGATATGTCTCAGTACCGTACAGAACGCCCTAGTTGTAACATGATATGTCTCAGTACCGTACAGAACGCCCTAGTTGTAACATGATATGTCTCAGTACCGTACATAACGCCCTAGTTGTAACATGATATGTCTCAGTGCCGTACAGAACGCCATAGTTGTAATATGATATGTATCAGTACCGTACAGAACGCCCTAGTTATACCATGATATGTCTCAGTGCCGTACAGAACGCTCTAGTTATAACATGACATGTCTCAGTACCGTACAGAACGCCCTAGTTGTAACATGATATATCTCAGTGCCGTACAGAACGCCCTAGTTGTACCATGATATGTCTCAGTGCCGTACATAACGCCCTAGTTGTACCATGATATGTCTCAGTGCCGTACATAACGCCCTAGTTGTAACATGATATGTCTCAGTACCGTACATAACGCCCTAGTTGTAACATGATATGTCTCAGTGCCGTACAGAACGCCATAGTTGTAATATGATATGTATCAGTACCGTACAGAACGCCCTAGTTATACCATGATATGTCTCAGTGCCGTACAGAACGCTCTAGTTATAACATGACATGTCTCAGTACCGTACAGAACGCCCTAGTTGTAACATGATATATCTCAGTGCCGTACAGAACGCCCTAGTTGTACCATGATATGTCTCAGTGCCGTACATAACGCCCTAGTTGTACCATGATATGTCTCAGTGCCGTACATAACGCCCTAGTTGTAACATGATATGTCTCAGTACCGTACATAACGCCCTAGTTGTAACATGATATGTCTCAGTGCCGTACAGAACGCCATAGTTGTAATATGATATGTATCAGTACCGTACAGAACGCCCTAGTTATACCATGATATGTCTCAGTGCCGTACAGAACGCTCTAGTTATAACATGACATGTCTCAGTACCGTACAGAACGCCCTAGTTGTAACATGATATATCTCAGTGCCGTACAGAACGCCCTAGTTGTACCATGATATGTCTCAGTGCCGTACATAACGCCCTAGTTGTACCATGATATGTCTCAGTGCCGTACATAACGCCCTAGTTGTAACATGATATGTCTCAGTACCGTACATAACGCCCTAGTTGTAACATGATATGTCTCAGTGCCGTACAGAACGCCATAGTTGTAATATGATATGTATCAGTACCGTACAGAACGCCCTAGTTATACCATGATATGTCTCAGTGCCGTACAGAACGCTCTAGTTATAACATGACATGTCTCAGTACCGTACAGAACGCCCTAGTTGTAACATGATATATCTCAGTGCCGTACAGAACGCCCTAGTTGTACCATGATATGTCTCAGTGCCGTACATAACGCCCTAGTTGTAACATGATATGTCTCAGTACCGTACAGAACGCCCTAGTTGTAATATGATATATCTCATTACCGTACAAGAACGCCCTAGTTGTAACAGTACATGTCTCAGTACCGTACAGAACGCCCTGCTTGTAACATAAGACATCATGATAGATGTCACTGTTCGTGAACGTGTACCCTTCTCCTGGTGATATCACCAGTCTGTGTAAGGTTCATATTATCTTTCCTTTTGTTTTCATATCTCATCGGTTCCATTTGTCATCTTTTTCCGAAAGAAATCTTACTTTTTCTTAGTGTAATGATACTGTAATATATATATTTTGTCCATTTTTCTGGAATGAAAATCTCCAAAACCCACATTGTCCAGCAATTTAAAAGTTTATTCTTTTTAAACATGAACGCTAGTTTGTCATGAGAATGGAGATGAATATCATTGTATTATATTTTGTACTTCAAATAAAACTTTGTCTTGCTTACATTTTTTATCTGTTATTTAGTATAATCTGACAGTTCTGTTCAATCAAAGAGTAGTTGTTGATAAACAGGAAAAAATCAAGGAAATCATTTTTTCCCTTATTGAAAGGACGAATCATAAACAGAATAAAACGAAAGAGCATTTTCCGACATGATACACGAGTGAATACGTTGTGATTTTAATATTGAAAATGTGGTTTTTATTTAAAGCAAAGTAATCAAAATTGTTCTTGCTTTTTGGAATCTTTGGAAGATTAAGAAACTTTTTACTTATGTAAGAGCGTTTTCAAGCACATTTTCTTGCTGATGACAAAGTTGTAGATGTTTATTTTCAGTTTAATCACTTTTGTTTTCATTTTAGAATTTTAATCGTTTCCCATCGTTTTCGGTTTCTTGGAGTTTGTGTTTGCATGTTTTGTTATCAGTTTGATTGGATATTGTTTGATACTGTTTGAACACATTAACATAGCACCGGACCTCCCACACCTCCATGTTTAGATGAAGAATTTCATAATAAAAAAGAGTATTGCACTGATGTTATATGGAAATCTAAAACATAATTATTACAAGCACGTCTTATTAAAACGTTCATACTTGTGTTGTCCTTTTAAGACTCTTGTTAATTTGTTTTCGACCACAGGGAGTGGAGTGATACCAATAGGGCACTTCTCGTTATGTAGATCTGTAAATAACACGGACGTTTCTTAATATAGCCGTGCCACGAGGACGCGTAATATTTCGGCGACAAGCTTAATCTTTTGGTTTGAAGTCGCCAGGACTATTTGGTCACCTACATAAAATATTCAAAACAAAATAAATATATATCACACACTTTCACATGGAGAAGTATTCAATACTACACATACTTGGCCCAAAGAAATCATTGCACATTGGTAACGCAACTTATAAAATATCGTTTATATCTACAAATGCTTTTTTTCCAGGCTGTTGCTAAATTCCTCGACACCAAGCATACAGATCACTATCGCGTCTACGATCTCTGCAGTAAGTAAATAATATCAATACATCAGGGACTATCCTGGAGGGGTCACGGAGCCAGTCCCAATCCGAACAAAGAATGAAATAAAACGGAGGGTTGTCCTTCACCTTTTTTCGTCATTTTACACAGAATGGCCTTTCTAATATTTGGTATTGATTAAAAATAGCTGAAAATGGCCCATTGCTCTTCCTCCCTGGATTTGTACAGTGCATGTCAGCAATATACACGATATTACACTGCATTCCTCTAAACATTGCCGGGTTCACTCACTGATTATATTTGTATGGTTAAGAATTTATTCCGCATGGGTACGTATAATTTTAGTTACATTATTTCGATTAATAATATTTTTTAATGTCAGTTTCATTTATTTTGAGTAATATTACATAACAAAGTGTTTCCTCCAATCTTTTGTTCTGATCTAATTAGAACCAGGATGATCGTATTCCAGGAAGTGCCACATCTCGAATTACTGGTTTACCAGAATACCGTTAAATTCGACCCCAGATGCAGGCATATTATACGAAATCGAGTAAATAATTAAGTTTGCTTTCTTTCTGATTATTATCATGATTTAATTATAATTCGTAAGTGGATCACTGTAGCTTTATCTTAGTATGATCTACCATGGGTCTTAGTTAACATTTCTCATTGAAGGCAATGCACAATTTATATTCGGTTGTTTTTTGAAATGATAATATCAATGGTACGTGAAATATTGAACGGGTAAGAGAATTAAAAGTAAGTAAATGTTACAATTACTAATTATTCATTTCTGTTTCAGGCGAGCTCAATTATGATCGGTCTATATTTCACAAGCAAGTCCGCAAGGTGAAAATTGATGATCATAACGTTCCGAGATTAAAGTAGGTTGATGAAAAATATGCAGTCTGAACAAGCAACACATAGTGCAATATGGTCATGATGTTTTTGTCTTGGTGTATGTAGTAGGAGGCATTGCAGGCTAATGGTGGGACGCCGGGCTCGTGACCGAAGGGTTTCGGGTTCGCGTCACGACACGGCACTGTGTTGTATCTTTGAACAAGATACTTCACTCCGCTTGTTTTAGTCTACTCAGCTGTAAATGAGTATGTACCGGTTGCGTGCTCTCTAGGGAGTTGAGAAAGATATTGGCTGGTTGCAAAGGCCCTATAGCCACGGATAATAATTTGTGAACCGCTTTGAAACGACCTACGAATTAGGTTGTGATAAAGTGGTATATTAGAACCTCGAATTATTTTTATTATTATATAGCAATTAAAAAGAGAAACCTGCTACGAATAACTGTCGATGAGATTCACAACAAGACAATGGATTGTCATTTACTTATTTAGATACCACGTAAATTAGATAAATCCTCAGTCGAACACATTTACTTATGTAGATACCACGTAAATTAGATAAATCCTCAGTCGAACACAAATTGTCGCCTAAAAGATTAATTGTTGGTGCTATTTCCGAGTAAGTGTTGTTTATTCCTGTATGTGATATATATATATAATACGTTTTCAGGGACATGATGGCGTTTTGTCTTGATGTTAGAGAGTGGCTTGCTGCCGATGACAAAAACGTGATAGCGGTGCATTGTAAAGGCGGAAAGGGCCGAACCGGAACTATGATCTGTACCTGGCTCATTCACACGGAACTGTTCAACGAAGCACAGGTACCCATACGTATCATTCGCTCAAAACATCTCTGGGTGACGTGAGGTTATTATCGATCTCTAAGTTACGAACTGTGATTTCTAGTCCATACTTTGTGAATCGTACTGCCGGGCAACTAGCGCCATACAGATGTGAAGTTTTTTTTAAACACAGTGTTATAGTTTGATTTAAAAGTAAAACCACACATTTGTCCCGATCTGTCATCACACATTTATATAAGGTTAATGCGCAGTGGTAGAGATGAAATCCAACTAGAGCGATCCATTAATAGATTGCTTTCAGATTTATATTCCAGTCGCAGGACCGTTGTTACTCCCTCGGGTCAGACTCACAACTTTCGCTTCCGATACGAGTTTCACTTTATCGATCGGAATGTCACGAAGAAAAATGACACAACAGTTACAAAGGGTACATAGGTACTCGTCAATTGTAAATTAAATCAATACATCATAAAGTCAAAACTAATAGTATAAATATCAATTATTCAAATTTCACATTGTTGGAATAATTTTGGTAAACATGGAAAGACATGAAGCCATATATACCCTAATATTTCAGATTTCAATGTTTGAAAGTGTCGCATGATTTCATGGGTAAAAAGAAAACTTGTTTGAGTACATAATTTCAACGTGAGAATGATACGTTCCAATATCTCATTTCGATACAAAAGACAGCACCAGGGACAGCGAAAAAAAGAACAACAAGAATGTGTCATAGAAAATACAAATAGCCATGAAACGAAACCAAGTGATTGATTTGTTTGTGCTTTACGTCCTAATCAACAGCTATGGGCGTTTAAGGACTATCAATGGTTTGTTGGTGGGGCAAAACCGGAAATCCCTCAGAATAACCACCAACCTGCGGTCAGTTCCTGGCGACTGCACCACGTAGGCCTCGAAGTTCTAGTGATCGTAGAGGGTCAGACGCCTTCATCACTCGGCCACCGTGACCCAGTGGTAGTGGGCTAGCGATCATAATCGTTCAGACGCCTTCACCACTCGGCCACCGCGACCCAGTGGTAGTGGGCTAGCGATCGATGACGGTCAGTTGGCTTCACCAATCGGCCACCGTGACCCAGTGGAAGAGAGCTGACGATCGTAGGTGGTCAGACGCCTTCTCCACTCGGCCTGCGTGACCCAGTGGTAGAGAGCTGATGATCGTAGGTGGTCAGACGCCTTCACCACTCGGCCACCGTGACCCAGTGGTAGAGAGCTGACGATCGGTGACGGCCAGGCGACTTCACCACTCGGCCACCGTGACCCAGTGGCAGAGAGCTGACGATCGTAGGTGGTCAGACGCCTTCTCCACTCGGCCTGCGTGACCCAGTGGTAGAGAGCTGATGATCGTAGGTGGTCAGACGCCTTCACCACTCGGTCACCGTGACCCAGTGGTAGAGAGCTGACGATCGATGACGGTCAGTTGGCTTCACCAATCGGCCACCGTGACCCAGTGGTAGAGAGCTGACGATCGATGACGGTCAGTTGGCTTCACCAATCGGCCACCGTGACCCAGTGGAAGAGAGCTGACGATCGTAGGTGGTCAGACGCCTTCTCCACTCGGCCTGCGTGACCCAGTGGTAGAGAGCTGACGATCGTAGGTGGGCAGACGCCTTCACTACTCGGCCTGCGTGACCCAGTGGTAGAGAGCTGACGATCGCTGACGGCCAGGCGCCTTCACCACTCGGCCCGCGTGACCCATTTGTAGAGAGCTGACGATCGTTGATGGTCAGACGCACCACTCGGCCTGCGTGACCCATTTGTAGAGAGCTGACGCTCGTTGACGGTCAGGCGCACCACTCGGCCTGCGTGACCCAGTGGTAGAGAGCTGATGATCGTAGGTGGTCAGACGCCTTCACCACTCGGCCTGCGTGACCCATTTGTAGAGAGCTGACGATCGTTGACGGCCAGGCGCCTTCACCACTCGGCCTGCGTGACCCATTTGTAGAGAGCTGACGATCGTTGACGGTCAGACGCACCACTCGGCCTGCGTGACCCCGTGGTAGAGAGCTGACGATCGTTGACGGACAGACGCACCACTCGGCCTGCGTGCCCCAGTGGTAGCGAGCTGACGATCGTTGACGGCCAGGCGCCCTCCCTACTCGGCCTGCGTGACCCAGTGGTAGAGAGTTGACGATCGTTGACGGTCAGACGCACCACCCGGCCTGCGTGACCCAGTGGTAGAGAGCTGACGATCGCTGACGGCCAGGCGCCTTCACCACTCGGCCCGCGTGACCCATTTGTAGAGAGCTGACGATCGTTGACGGGCAGGCGCACCACTCGGCCTGCGTGACCCAGTGGTAGAGAGCTGACGATCGTTGACGGTCAGACGCACCACCTGGCCATGGCAGCCCCCAATTGTTTTGTAAAGGGACGGTCACACTATCCTTTTCTGTGTGTGACATCCGTTATACACTTTCCTTTCAAATCAATTATATCTGTCGACAAACGTTAACATGCCTTGCATGTATTAAGCATGGAAAGCATTGAATTAAAACAGATAAAAGTTCAGGTCACAGCTCCGGAAAAAATCTTATGTCCGCTAACATGTCCTATCCGTCATCATTCAGTCTCTTTCTTTTTTAACATCATTGGGAGGCTAGTACACAAATTGTACAGATATCTTCGAATTTATATTGACACACAGTGGGGTTATTTGTGCATGAAAGCGACATTTTTCACACCACCAACAAAAAGATCCCGGCTCCATCGATCATAACACCACAACCTATTGATTTTGAGATTCAAATGAAGATCCGGTGCTTGACTGTTAAATATCAGAGAGAAAAATCATTTGATATTCCTTTTGTCAGTTTTTAAAACCAGTGGGTATAACTAGGTTCATTCAAAAGTATTTCCATTAATAACTGAGATATATAAGTTTGATAGGTTAGAAAAAATCTGTTTGGTTCAAAGGCAAGCCTGAGGTATTCTTTTCGTTTTTGTTGCTTCTTTCATTAACGCAAATACATTTCTGTGTCACAAAATAGTATGATATTATTACGGAAACCTCTCCCCGGATAACATTTTACATGGAGGTTCATATTGTCTTCCATTTTGTTGTGTCTGCGGTATATGTTGTCTTTTCATTTTGTTGTGTCTTCTTTATATGTTGTCTTCCATTTTGTTGTGTCCGCGGTATATGTTGTCTTCATTTTGTTGTGTCTGCAGTATATGGTGTCTTCCCATTTTGTTGTTTCTGCGGTATATGTTGTGTTTCCATTTTGTTGTGTCCGCGGTATATGTTGTCTCCATTTTGTTGTGTCCGCGGTATATGTTGTCTCCATTTTGTTGTGTCCGCGGTATATGTTGTCTTTCTATTTTGTTGTGTCTGTGGTATATGTTGTCTATATTTTGTTGTGTCTGCAGTATATGTTGTCTTTCCATATTGTTGTGTCTGCGGGATATGTTGTCTTTCCATTTTGTTGTGTCTGCGGTATATGTTGTCTTTCCATTTCGAATTTCGTCCTTTTAAGGTGACGTTATTCTGCATGTATTCTAGGTTGCAATAAACCACACGACAACACTATGTAAACAATAAACCACACGACAACACTATGTAGCCAATAAACCACACGACAACACTATGTAAACAATAAACCACACGACAACACTATGTAAACAATACCAAATCGCTAAAGGGATCAGTTTCATATTGAGACTTCTCTTGCTGCTTCAAATAGTAGATCATAATAAGAGACACACATTTACGTGATGTAAGTCTGTTACATGTTATTGTTTGGACTGAAAATACTTATGTTACTCCATGCAAGTTGTATGTAACCAATTCACATTCAAACCGGCGTCAATTCCTTAAAATCATGTCGAGGTTTTATATAGCTTAGTCACAATAAAATCATGACGAGGTTTTATATAGCTGTCGTATTTGACCGAGTTACAACACAAGTTATTGAAACAACATTGATTCGAACTTAAAATTGATAAAACTAGGGCAAAATGTGAACAAAAGAGAGATGTATATGGTGACCCTTGAAAAAGTACAAAGAAAATGAGGACTGGTGTTCCGGAAGCGTAAACGACTTCAGCTTCATCGAATTTTGTAAGTTACACTTCCTGATAAACTCATCAATACATGAACAATCAGCTTAATATAAAAACAGAAACAAATCGGTCAGAAGAGTGGCACAGCTTGTTCGTTTGAGAACCTTGACTTAATCAGTGTCGACATCATCAGCACCAGTCTCTACATCTTTGAACATTCAGTTTGTATTTTCAGCAAAGTCTCAAATACTTTGGAAAGAGGAGGACCGATTTAAATGCAGGAAGTACCTTCCAGGGCGTGGAAACGCCTAGTCAGGTATGTGATCATTTACTTTGTAACACAACAAACATAGAACGCTGGAAAATATTATAACTTATGATTTAGAAAAGCTGATTTTACTTTTTTTTCGATTCTCATACAGCTGAAATGTCTGCAAGAAGAAGAAAAAAATGATGTCGATTAAAAACTTATAGAACATTCTATTATTTCGTGCGATTATAAGACTGGAAAATATGCCATCAATTGCTTACTGTCAAAACGATATTGAAAACAAGACCGCCTTGACAATGTCTTCATTAATGGATTACGAACATATCATCCGTGTCACATGACCCATGTGATATGTTAAGAACACATCAATAGCAAAAGCAACGATAATAGAAAACTTAACAAGAGGAATGAATACAAATTTAATAGTGTAATTAGTGTAAAATATATTCGAAATTGAGGAGTTATTATATTTGTAATGATTTATTTGACAGATTTATGCGCCATTCAAATTCGAATGTGGTAAAATTTGCATGCACAAAAGTGTGAGCTAACCACAAAACGACCTATTGTCAAAAGCCTAGTCAGTTGAATGGCACGTTTATACACATAGGAATAAAATGTTCTCTCTAGATTTATTTGAAAGTTTTATATACTTTATCGGATGGTCATTTTATAATATCTTTTAATGGATTTTTACTTTAAAAAAAATGAAGTTTTTAAAAACATGCTGTTGAGATTCGTATAAAACTTACCAAATGTTCTGCTTTAACCTGGGTGGTAGGCTACTGACATGATGAGTGGCCATCTAGTACTTGCTGTATTTCTAACCATCTAGTACTTGCTGTATTTCTAACCATCTAGTATCTACTGTATTTCTAACCAATGTGTAGTTCGTGCGTGGGCTTTACATACGGTTATCAAGTTAGGTAACTAAAAGATGAAGTATGTAAATGAGTTGAATAATCTTCCATTGTCCTGAATGTACATCAAAATAAGACACAATCATTGTCCTTCTCTGTCATGAAATGTTTCGTTGTCATTTTGGTTAAATACACACTGGATTGTATACGTGTTATACCGTACAACAAAGCAGGTTACACGCTCTGCGTTTGTAAATGACAATAAAACACCAAGGTTTTTCAGCTATAACTAAAGATAGCAATACGCAATATATAAGCGGTTACGTAAACAAAGACATCTTTATTGTTTAATCGATAATAGGACATAAAACCTCAAGTGCTGCTGTAACGATATTAGGAGTACGTAAACTGAATAATAACACGTAACCGTTGTATTTTAGTGCCGGTATGTAGAGTATTACGAGAAGGTGAAGTGGGAGCTAGATTGGACCATACCTCCAGTCCGGCACTTAAAAATAAAGACAGTCAACATAACCTCCATCAAAGGTACGGTTAAAGGTTTTATAATGAAGTGAAGACTCTGTCAAATGTCGTTATGTGGAAGTACATGTACCATTTAACTTCGTTATGTCGAAGTAAAGAAACAATGAAAACTTGTTACAACGAAATATAAAACCAGTTTAACTTCAATTTATATGGGTGAAAAATAAGCAAAACCTCAATATGTCAAAAGATGAACGTAAGGATGGAACCAAGCAACCATCATAATGTCAAAATTAAAAGGCAAGTCGAACACCATTATGTTGAAGAAAAGTAAAAAAAATAGGCATCATAATGTCGAAGAAAGAACAAGGCGAATGTCGTTATGTCGAAGTCATTCAAATGTTCAAACTTTTGGGTTGCTAAATATTTCATACATCTGAAGTTACACAAGGATTGAAAGTTATTTGCAACGTAGGCTTGGTATAATTGATGTCTAACGTTATAGTTGATGTCTAACGTTATAAGTGATGTCTAACGTTATAATTGATGTCTAACGTTATAAGTGATGTCTAACGTTATAATTGATGTCTAACGTTATAAGTGATGTCTAACGTTATAAGTGATGTCTAACGTTATAATTGATGTATAGCGTTATAATTGATGTCTAACGTTATAATTGATGTCTAACGTTTATAAGTGATGTCTAACGTTATAATTGATGTCTAACGTTATAAGTGATGTCTAACGTTATAATTGATGTCTAACGTTATAAGTGATGTATAACGTTATAATAAATGTCTAACGTTATAATTGATTTCTAACGTTATAAGTGATGTATAACGTTATAATTGATGTCTAACGTTATAAGTGATGTATATCGTTATAATTGATCTCTAACGTTATAAGTGATGTCTAACGTTTTAAGTGCTGATAAGTCGTATGTTGTTTTTAAGAAGATATGAGATGTTTTGATGTTTCTGGACTTGGATATAAAACTTATCTCTAAAGTTATGAACCATTATTATCATAACATCGGTTTGATTCTTTATTTTTGGTTTTGGTTTTACAGGTATGCTTTTTATACAATATGTATTGTTTAGCATACCTTTGAATGGCTGTTTGATTTAAGAAATGCATACGAAAAATGAAATTGATTAATAAGCAAACAGATAAAATATAACAAAATTAGTCGTGCCTAATTATATGTTTTGTTCATATTGTAATTCTGTTGTTATTGGCTGAGCTAGGTGTGGGTAAAGGTGATGGGTCTGATCTGTCCATGGAAGTGTACGTACCATCTTCTGGGGCAGTGTTCAAATGCAGTTTACACAATAACAACAAATGCACAGTAAGTCACTACAAACTATCTTGTCCATTACTAAATCCTAGTGTTGATGTCTATAGAGATGAAATACGTGAAAACTTCAATTTCACGTTCAATTATGTGTTAAATTTAATTCATGACTCTCGGGATTCAAGTATTAAGAAAAGTTACCTATCAAAAAATGAACTGCGTAGACGGGTGTTATAGCGGAGGAGAGCTTAACAATGTTGTATGGTTAGCAGGCACGTAGCTAGGCACTAAAGACGTGCATTCAGATGATACAGCTGTATATAATTTTATCCGGTCGAGGTGAGACGAGAAACGGTTTTGGAAGATAGTTTGAGTAAGAATACATATAGCCGTTTGCATATATCTTAAGTAGCTCTAAATAGATAATTAGTTTCATAGCTTGACGTTGGGTCTTGGTCTGCATCCACTAATGTATTTGAACACAGAAGAGAAAGAAGAATTGGATACATATGCACTTCTTGTACCTCGACGGATAAAAGATATATTATACACCGTGTTTTGTAATTTACTACTTAATTGTATTGTCAACGCTGCTAATTTTAAACTGCGAAGAGAATGAAGAGTTCAGACGAGAGAATTCCACACGGATGAATTTGATACCTTTAACATTATATTGCTTCAGTTAAACCAATTCATGATCAAAAGATATTATATATTTCCTTGAAGATACATTTAGTTGTTTACTCCGATACAATTTTGCATTTCTGCCTACAGTACTCCCACAATAAGACCGAAGATAGAATCACTATTACCATAGGCGACGAGGGTCCTGTTTTGGAGAACGATGTAAAAGTTAGATTTAAATCATCGTCGGTAAGTAGCATATGATTGGCTTTATCGTTGAAAAAATCAGCTTGATCGCAGTATTCAAAGCCATAATGTATTATCAGAAGCTATTTGATGTTGAAGGACAGGCTGGCGACTGTCTGTATATATTTAACATTATTATTGGCATTACTCAAGTTTTCTATTGTTCATTTCAGAAAAAGCTGCCTCGAGTTTACGACAACTGCGCTTTCTTTTTCTGGTTTTATACATCATTCATCACAGACAACAGGTAAACCTCTAATTGGGAGTGCTATTTTACTGATGTTTCCTTCGCATATGTTGGCGGTAAGCGACGTGACAAATTTGATAAAAAGCATGATAATGAGATTTTACCGTATTTATTTCTGGGAAGTGTTTAAAAAAACCAATACACTGTCGTTTAAAATATGTGAACCCTTTTTATGAAGTAAGTTCGAAACAAATTGCTAAAAAGTTCCCTTAACATGTATGATGTAAAACGTTTAAAGTTATATGATGTGTAACAAAGCATAATCTGTTGTATATAGACGATGCCTTAATTGTACAAGGTCTTGTACTAGATTGCGTACACTCGACCGAGCTCCCTCTATACTGATGCCTATTTGTGTTTGAAGGTTGTACTTAGCCAGAGACGACCAAGCTCTCTATAATGATGCCTAATTGTGTTTGAGGGTTGTATTTACCCAGAGACGACCGAGCTCTCTATAATGATGCCTAATTGTGTTTGAAGGTTGTATTTACCCAGAGACGACCGAACTCTCTATAATGATGCCTAATTGTGTTTGAAGGTTGTACTTAGCCAGAGACTACCAAGCTCTCTATAATGATGCCTAATTGTGTTTGAAGGTTTTACTTACCCAGAGACGACCAAGCTCTCTATAATGATGCCTAATTGTGTTTGAAGGTTTTACTTACCCAGAGACGACCAAGCTCTCTATAGTGATGCCTAATTGTGTTTGAAGGTTGTACTTAGCCAGAGACGACAAAGCTCTCTATAATGATGCCTAATTGTGTTTGAAGTTTGTACTTAGCCAGAGACGACCAAGCTCTCTATAATGATGCCTAATTGTGTTTGAGGGTTGTATTTACCCAGAGACGACCGAGCTCTCTGTAATGATGCCTAATTGTGTTTGAAGGTTGTACGTACCCAGAGACGACAAAGCTCTCTATAATGATGCCTAATTGTGTTTGAGGGTTGTATTTACCCAGAGACGACCGAGCTCTCTATAATGATGCCTAATTGTGTTTGAAGTTTGTACTTACCCAGAGACGACCAAGCTCTCTATAGTGATGCCTAATTGTGTTTGAAGGTTGTACTTAGCCAGAAACGACCAAGCTCTCTATAATGATGCCTAATTGTGTTTGAAGTTTGTACTTACCCAGAGACGACCAAGCTCTCTATAGTGATGCCTAATTGTGTTTGAAGGTTGTACTTAGCCAGAGACGCCCAAGCTCTCTATAATGATGCCTAATTGTGTTTGAGGGTTGTATTTACCCAGAGACGACCGAGCTCTCTATAATGATGCCTAATTGTGTTTGAAGGTTTTACTTACCCAGAGACGACCAAGCTCTCTATAATGATGCCTAATTGTGTTTGAAGGTTGTATTTACCCAGAGACGACCGAACTCTCTATAATGATGCCTAATTGTGTTTGAAGTTTGTACTTAGCCAGAGACGACCAAGCTCTCTATAGTGATGCCTAATTGTGTTTGAAGGTTGTACTTACCCAGAGACGACCAAGCTCTCTATAATGATGTCTAATTGTTTTTGAAGGTTGTACTTACCCAGAGACTTCATCGACAACCCACACAAAAGAAGAGCGCAGAGAGTTTATAGAGACACTTTTAGTGTAGAATTGCTGTTTGAAGACGCGACCAGCCAAGATACCGATACTGATGGGCAGCAGTGACGGACACAATGTTTAACTGGATACAAATAACGTTCCACTGAAGCTCCGAAAATACATAGTCAACGTTTGCCAGCTTAATAGACTGGTGGCAATCACGAAGATGAATTGGTTTTAAGAGTATTACAAAGTTTCTTTAACGTGTATTGGAAAAGCGGAAAAACGAAGATTATTCTTCCTTAGGTAACAAAAGGCATAGTCATGTTCGACAGAGAAACTTTGTAACTGATTGCTGGCTGACACCATTGAATGGCTCACTGATACAGAAAGGTCGGTATGTGATGTAAAGAACAGGGAGTTGACAGCTTTTCTGTAATATTTCTGGTCTTGTTTTAGTATAGGAACAGGGAATTGACAGCTTGTCTGTGATATTTCTGGTCTTGTTTTAGTATAGGAACAGGGAGTTGACAGCTTGTCTGTGATATTTCTGGTCTTGTTTTAGTATAGGAACAGGGAGTTGACAGCTTGTCTGTAATATTTCTGGTCTTGTTTAAGCGTATTGCTCTTTTCACTAGCCTTCAAATTTCAAATGGACAAAACGTGAAATGGAGTCTTTACCGGGTTCTCGTACTTCGAGGTTCAATTTTAACTTATGAGTGTATTGATGTTGTGGCGTCACATTTTTATTTATTTATGGTTTTTATAACTGTTGGTGTTTGACACTTTGTGATCATTTGTAAAGCGAACTTCCTTTTAACCCCAACTCAGGATGTGTTCAATGTTTGTGTCTAAGGATGTTTATCTGACAATTATTGCGTGTTACGCAAATGTCTCAAGATAACTGATTAACGAACTAGTGATCAGTGTATTTTTTTCATCTAGGTCTTATGTCCCGGCCCATATAGACATGATCATAATGTCCCGACCCATAGAGACATGATCAAAATGTCCCGACCCATAGAGACATGATCATAATGTCCCGACCCACAAAGACATGATCATAATATCCCGACCCATAGAGACATGATCAAAATGCCCCGACCCATAGAGACATGATAATAATGTCCCGACCCACAGAGACATGATCATAATGTCCCGACCCATAGAGACATGATCATAATGTTCCGACCCATAGAGACATGATCATAATGTCCCGACCCATATATACATGATCATAATGTCCCGACCCATAGAGACATTATCATAATGTCCCAACCCATAGAGACATTATCATAATGTTCCGACCCATAGAGACATGATCATAATGTCCCGACCCATAGACATCATCATAATGTTCCGACCCATAGAGACATGATCATAATGTCCCGACCCATATATACATGATCATAATGTCCCGACCCATAGAGACATGATCATAATGTCCCGACCCACAAAGACATGATCATAATATCCCGACCCATATACAAGATCATAATGTCCCGACCCATAGAGACATGATCATAATGTCCCGACCCATAGAGACATGATCATAATGTCCCGACCCACAGAGACATGATCATAATGTCCCGACCCATAGACATGATCATAATGTCCCGACCCATAGAGACATGATCATAATGTCCTGACCCATAGAGACGTGATCATAATGTCCCGACCCATAGAGACATGATCATAATGTCCCGACCCATAGAGACATGAATGCAATATCAATCTTTAATATGAAGGACCCCATTGTTAGATGTTTCTTTCTATTTTTAGATGCATCCTACTTTAAAAATGCTACCCGTCTGTCCGTCCATCCTTCGTTTGCTCTTAGAATGAACTACGTCATCCTCTGTGAAACAACAAGTTTCCTAAGTCGAGTAATAATTGAGTTGAATCATCAACAAATGGTGGCTAGTTTGACGATTAGTTATTACATTAATGATTTTTTGCATTAGCATAATTCATTTTCGCAGCATTAAGAAAACATCTAGCTTTACGAAAGGATAGGGACTTTCGGTATGTTTTTTATATTTTGAAAATTAATTTGATATTACATTTTTAGTTAACACATCTATATCAGGATATGATAAGTTTGTGTGAAGTTTATATATTTTACCTATAAAACTTCTTTTTCTTATTCGTGTAAACTGTAGATAACTTCAAAGCATTCTCAAGCACCAATGAGTTTTTTAGTATGACGGTAAGCTATAAGCTGTTACTAGCTACAGCTAATCGTGAGCCGTTTTAGTGTCGTTAAATAAGTTTTTATGAAACAAATATGTTTATGCTAATTCTTAATTTCTATCAAAGTGCAATGTATACCATGAATTTTGAGTGAGATGACTTATTTTTGAGATCGAAATGTATTTAATTATTTTCAACGCATTATTATACCAAATTATGTGCTCAAGATTTTGATTTGTTTCAGATATTCGTTGATATTCAGGATAGAATTGCGGTTTGTAGATACTTAAATAATTTTTGTTTTTATGTCTTGTTGTTTCGGTGAAGTGAGAGAGATATGTTTGGTGATAATGGTTTTCGGTGAAGTGAGAGAGATATGTTTGGTGATAATGGTTTTCGGTGAAGTGAGAGAGATATGTTTGGTGATAATGGTTTTCGGTGAAGTGAGAGAGATATGTTTGGTGATAATGGTTTTCGGTGAAGTGAGAGAGATATGTTTGGTGATAATGGTTTTCGGTGAAGTGAGAGAGATATGTTTGGTGATAATGGTTTTCGGTGAAGTGAGAGAGATATGTTTGGTGATAATGGTTTTCGGTGAAGTGAGAGAGATATGTTTGGTGATAATGGTTTTCGGTGAAGTGAGAGAGATATGTTTGGTGATAATGGTTTTCGGTGAAGTGAGAGAGATATGTTTGGTGATAATGGTTAAAAAGACAATCTTTTGATGTCATATTGAACATTAAATTCAGGTAGCGTGATTTTGCATTTATGCTTTAAAATTTAGTTCTGCTTTATGACAATCGAACCTTGTCACACGAGTATCTGTCCCGGATACTATGCTTGTCATAACAACCCTCATTCCATAAGACTAGAATACCCTGTTCGATTCGCAATAACAGAATAACATATAAAACATCATCTTTTTCTTAGATATTTGCAATATAGTGGCATACAACAGCTTATTTCATTATTTCTGTTTGTAGGTGAACAATTTTCAGAGTAGAGCAGAATACCTGGTAGTATATCATCTTTTTTTTTAAACTAATCGACCCATGTTTGGGCAAAATATTGTGTAAATTGTATTTTTTCTATAATTATTTATTGACATAATGTTGACACAAATTTGCAATGTTACAACATATACTAAATGCGTGTCAACATACCTATATACACCTCGCTCACAGTTAGCTCCCAGTATCTATGCACCGGTGTGATCTTTTATACCAAATGTATATCGTTATTGTTGTAACTCTACCCTCACATGACACAACTTTTTACTTCCATTGAATTTGTATAACTGTAAAATTATGTCAAATATAATAAATAAATATCTATTAAAATTGATTGGATACTTACAGCGAAATCTTTCAATTGTGTATACCCTGGTATTTGTATGGTGTAATTGTGTATACCATGGTATTTGTATGGTGTAATTGTGTATACCCCGGTGCGTGTTCCACATGCTATGTTCAGAAAATATATACAGAAAAAAAGCATATTTGTATACATGAAAATAAGAGCCCTATAGAACCCGTATCGTTCACATAGAAACTTTGTTGGTCTTGGATAATACGCTTTCGTGTAAATGAGGTAAAGTTTCAACATTAATGTCAACATCCTGAATTTTGGCAAAATGTCAAAATTTAATTGAAATCTATAATAAGATGTTCCTACTTCTCTGTGATTAAGTTGTTATTTAATATAGTTTATGAAGTTTATATGCTGATGAGTTCTTTACCGAATCAACAAAAACCTGCTGTGAAGTGAAGGCATTACCAAATGGTTAATGATATAATGGATGTATAACCCATTTATCAAAATGAAAGTTGTTCCTTCCAAAATGACGTTATCCGTTGATACAGCTAGGTTGTATAGAATAACATAAAACGAACACCGAACAAAATATAAAACCAATTTTAATATCACAAATAGTAAAAAATTGTAAAATTTGTTAACACCTAAAATATAATTAAAAACCGAAGTTAAAATGGTCAATTCAAGAGAAAGCATCGGAAGAACTCAAGGTCAGTAATAAACAAACCACTTAAATTTGAACGGGAAGTGTCACGTGTACAAGGGAACCGCTTGTATTAACAGTTAAGAGAAAAAAGGGATGTTAACTTGTTTCCCTCAAATAGAAATCAATACTATGTGAATCGAATTGTTTAAATTGGTTCAATCAAGACTAATAACTGACATACGTGAACTTAAAGTCGAACGCGTTAGGTTTACGTCTAGATTAATCCCTAAATCAAAATGTTGCAGCAAAGAAGATGAAAACCACATACAAGATTGGGAATTCATACAAGCAAGGGGATACAACTAAACTTTTTTCTTCCATGATTGAACATAGAAATGTTTCATCTTGACTACGATTGAAATCCCTTTTATTAAGTAGATAAAAAAGTGTCATTACCTAGAGATATATACATTTTTTGTAATGTTTGACATTCCTTTCTATACAGCTATTTATCTCGTTTTCACGTCACATATACGTTACATTTGAACTGATTCAATGTGTAACATGATCGAGCTGTGACACAATGACTAGAAGATTACAAGTACTGAATATTATAATTCTAAAACTAAGTTACTTCTTACTTAGGTTAGGTACTTAAATAACTCATACAGGAAAAATATTTGACCTGTAGGATAGCGAATTTGGCCCTTGGCAAGATACATCTAAATGGCATTTATTGTTAGCACATTAACCAACCAAGCTACCTGCTAAATAGCTCAAGTTTACGACTTACGGTTGGTAACAAGTTGTTTGAAGATTTGAATATCTCTTTTTGTACCATATAACCGTAATACATCAACAAACTGGTAGAAATTTATGTTTTCAAGATTTTACTTTTTGACGATTTAAATTAATAACATCGGATATTGAAATTCTTAAAACAAAAGAAAGATAATGCCTACCATGTAAAACAGCAAGAACTATTACATCTGAATTTTTGACATTCGGAAATGGTTTGGAACTTTCCATCCTACTGTAAGAGTAATTGGAGGGTCTCCGAATCGTTTCCGTTCGGCATTCATCGCTTGACGGCATCGGTAACCATGGCAAATACTTGACGGCACCAGTAACCATAGAAAATACTTGACGGCACCGGTAACCTTAGAAAATACTTGACGGCACCGGTAACCATAGAAGATACTTGACGGCATCAGTAACCATAGAAAATACTTGACGGCACCAGTAACCATAGAAAATACTAGCCGCAAAGAATGACTGTTCTACCATTTGATGAAGGAAACAATTCAACAACATCTATCACGTTTCATTTTAACAATATGGGCTTTATTGTTAGTTAACATTTAAATAAAACTTAAAGTGCAAAGGCAGAGACAATTTGATGCCAACATAAAAACGTACGTCTACCGACCGTGATAAATTAGAAACTCCGTAACTACCGAGTTAGTATAATATATCAAACTGAGTATGTAATTCAGGTAAAGCTAATATGTCACGCTTTCCGTGCTTGTTCTTTTGCCTTTTGGGAAATTATTATATGTCTCTAAAAAAAAAAATTTTAGTATATTGAATCAGGCAAGGACTTCATATAATGGACCAGCTTGTTTTTTCCGATTTCCATATTTATCATATACAGAATTGAATTTTATTATAATTTGTTTGGAATATAATTTAGCCTTTAGCCTTGTCTCAAGATATCTCTAAAAAGATCTGTTGTATAGTAAGCAAACGTCCATTTCCACAGGATATTCTCGTAGCAGTAAAATATAGTAAGTGACAAACAGATTCCGTACAACATAAATAAAAAAAAATCCAACAACATGGAAAGTTTCGTTTTAGCGAGAACATGCTAAGATTAGGAGGAATGGCACTACTAAGTTCTTACTTCTTTTTATTGAACGGAAACAAATTATCTTCTTATGAAATAACAAAAGATGAAAGCGACATTTCACCACAATTGTCAAGTTTTCAACGTGGTCGTTATGTCTATTGTATATACGTATTGACAGTACAATACCTGATGTGACCTATTACATATAATTACTGAGATAGTGCATTTATCGTACTCTAGTTATAGAATGAAATATCTCCTGGACTGAAATGTCAATCATAATTATGTATTTGATAAATGAAACCATCTGAATTTCCTCCGTAGATACTGATAAAATTAATTACTTCCCCTTAACCTATATCAGTATGGTTGACATTTATCTTGAGCAAATTACGGCGGAAATACAAATAACTTACATATAGAAAATATAGAGATAAACTTTAGTAGTCAAAATATAAATATTTCGGCATTACAAAGGAGATGTTAAAGTGATTAATGTCACATTCAACTCGATCAAATGAAGACACATTGTTATACAATAAAAAAACATTTACTACAGCAATCCACCGTCTGTCAAGAATAAAGGTAAAGAGCAATGGAATGCTCTCCATATTGGAGGTCAACTTATAAATATTAGAACTACTCAACATAAAATAATAACTAAGATAATGATACATTTGTTAAAATCTGGAAAACAAATGCAAGAAGTAAACACTTTCTCCTTTTGATCTGAATCTGCAGATTCGAATAATGACATCAGTTTTTTAAATTGGAAAACAGTATGGAGAAAACTGGTTAACACAATAAGCACGAGTCATTTGAATTATTCGGGAATGAGAAAAGTGGAAATACGTAAAAATGGAAAAGTGCTAAAGTCAATCTCACAAACTTTTAACAACATGCATACAAAAAAATCATGTAATGGATCAAAGTCATGAATCACAATGTATTTTCGTCTGTAGTAAGTATTTCGGCCAATGAACGTATTGACACTCGTCCACATTTGGTCGTTGATCTGTCAGTGGTCACTTTTAGACCTGTCCCCTGTACCTAAAGAATCTATTTGTTCAGCCTTTGTGGTATTCACATTCTACCAGGATGAAAGATGACTAAGAACTATAATCCTCACGTTACATCCTCAAAGCTTAGCATAACGGAAAACTCCTCTGTAAAAATCTTGTGGACTTTCTTCTTGTGAGGGTTATCAAGTTCATCACGTGGTATAAGCAATCTGATCGAACAGACAAAAAGAAGATATAAAGTCAACCTTAATTGGAAATTCAATTAAAACCAGGCTCGTACAATATATGCAGCTTGGTTCAAACGTTAAAATAATGCAAAGAATTATTATTAATAAGAGTTAATTCGTCAGAGACAACATATACTACTCACATTTTGCTAAGGATCACTTTTATTTTTAGGCATATTCGATTTCATTTTTTTATTTGGTTTATACTGAGATTACTTTTGAAAAATTGATTGTTCTTTTAATTCATCAGCATGCAAAAATTCCAAAAATCGTAATTACAGTCAGAAATGAGCCACAGGAAAAGGGTTACCGTTCAAATTGGTAACAACATGATATTCACTAAAACTTAAATTGAACAAAATTCATCCTAAATAAACAGAAACTGTTTTGGTATCGAGTTGATGCCCATGAGCATCAATTACAGCTTCACAACGTCTGCTCAGGCCCCGAATGAGATCGCGTATCTGGTTTTGTGGGGTGGCGTTCCACTCATGGTGTTGCCAGCTCCTGGAGCGTTCCTGGCTGAACATTTCTGACAGAGAGAGCTGTCTGAAGCATGTCCCACACATGCTCGATGGTATTAGATCCGGCGAGCGGGCTGGCCAATCCATTCGTTGAATAGTCTCATACTGTACATACTGCTTAGTCACCCTTGCTCTATGTGGCCTAGCATTATCGTCCATAAGGATGAGGTCAGTGCCGATAGCGCCAGCGAAGGGTCTGACATAGGCATCAAGGATTTCATTGCGGTAAATCCGGGCCATAACTGTACCATTATGGAAGACAATGAGGTAAGTTTTCCCACGAAGGCTTATGCCTCCTCACACTGAACCTCCGCCATATCGGTCATGTTCCACAACCTTACCTGCCTGGAACCTCTCCCCAGTTTGTCTCCAAACTCGAACGCGCTTGTCGGTGAAGTCGAAACAGAATCTGAACTCGTCAGTAAACAGAACCTGTTCACATTCCTGAAGAGTCCAAGTGTTGTGAGCATGGACCCAATCTAATAGGTCCCTAACATGGCGGGCAGTTAAGGGAACTCGTATTGCTGGTCTTTGTGACCTTAAACCAGCATCATGAAGACGGTTCCTAACTGTCTGAGTGGCTACATGGGTACCAGAAGTATTTAGGAGGTCATTTCGTAAAGCTGTGGCAGTCTGGAACCTTTGACGCCGTGCCTGTATGAGCAAAAATCGGTCTAGGCGCTGCGTTGTAGCCCTAGAACGACCTCCAGCATGACATCATGAAGGGTTTCCGTTAGTTTGGAAACGATTCTACATCCTTGCCACCACACTTTGAGACACCCCAAGGTCTGCTGCAACCTGACGTTATGACATGCTAGCTTGCAGCATTCCGATGACCCTATTCATTTAACCGTCATTTAACCGTTGTCTGGTTCGTCTTTGTGCCATATTAAAACAAAAACACGCAAAGAATATTCATCAAATTGATTGATTTCCTTAACAATTTGAACAACGCCTTACTTAGCCTGGCTTAGGTTTTGGAAGGGGTGTACACGTGGAAAACGTGCACGCGCTTTTATGGTTGACTGAACACACCCACACAAGACGATTTGGAAGGTTAACACATTCGCCCAAAACAATGAGGAAGGAAAATATAATATCCTTTCTAACATTTGTTTTCTTCAAAATATAGGTGATCCTTAGCAAAATGTGAGTGGTAAATATTATCAAAAGAGATTAACGAATATGCAGCCTAGACATTGATCATCTGGTGGTAATCCCCCGTATCTGTCTCCATGTAATGTAATGTACATCTGGTGGTAACCCCCGTATCGGTCTCCATGTAATGTAATGTACATCTGGTGGTAATACCGTATCGGTCTCCATGTAATGTAATATTCATCTGGTGGTAACCCTCGTATCGGTCTCCATGTAATGTAATACAAATATGGTGGTAGCCCCTGTATCGGTCTCCATGTAATGTAATATACATCTGGTGCTAGCCCCCGTATCGGTCGCCATGTAATGTAATATACATCTGGTGGTAACCCCCGTATAGGTCTCCATGTTATGTAATATTCATCTGGTGGAAGCCCCCGTATCGGTCTCCATGTAATGTAATATACATCTGGCGGTAGCCCCCGTATCGGTCTCCATGTAATGTAATATACATCTGGGGGTAGCCCCCGTATCGGTCTCCATGTAATGGAATATACATCTTGTGGTAGCACCCGTATAGGTCTCCATGTAATGTAATATTCATCTGGTGGTAATCCCCCGTATCGGTCTCCATGAAAGGTAATATACATCTGGTGGTAGCACCCGTATCGGTCTCCATGTAATGTAATGTACATCTGGTGGTAGCACCCGTATCGGTCTCCATGTAATGTAATGTACATCTGGTGGTAGCCCCCGTATCGGTCTCCATGCAATGTAATATACATCTGGTGGTAGCCCCCGTATCGGTCGCCATGTAATGTAATATACATCTGGTAGTAGCCCCCGTATCGGTCTCCATGTAATGTAATATTCATCTGGTGGTAACCCCGTATCGGTCTCCATGTAATGTAATATACTTCTGGTGGTAATCCCCCGTATCGGTCTCCATGAAAGGTAATATACATCTGGTGGTAGCCCCCGTATCGGTCGCCATGGGTCTCCATGTAATGTAATATACATCTGGTGGGAATCCCCCGTATCGGTCTCCATGAAATGTAATATTCATCTGGTGGTAGCACCCGTATCGGTCGCCATGTAATGTAATCTACATCTGGTAGTAGCCCCCGTATCGGTCTCCATGTAATGTAATATTCATCTGGTGGTAGCCCCCGTATCGGTCTCCATGTAATGTAATGTACATCTGGTGGTAGCCCCCGTATCGGTCTCCATGGGTCTCCATGTAATGTAATATACATCTGGTGGTAACCCCGTATCGGTCTCCATGTAATGTAATATACACCTGGTGGTAATCCCCCGTATCGGTCTCCATGTAATGTAATGTACACCTGGTGGTAGCCCCCGTATCGGTCTCCAAGGGTCTCCATGTAATGTAATATACATCTGGGGGTAGCCCCCGTATCGGTCTCCATGTAATATAATATACATCTGGTGGTAGCCCCCGTATCGGTATCCATGTAATGTGATATTCATATGGTGGTAGCCCCCGTATCGGTCGCCATGTAATGTAATACTCATATGGTGGTAGCCCCCGTATCGGTCGCCATGTAATGTAATATTCATCTTGTGGTAGCCCCCGTATCGGGATCCATGTAATGTGATATTGATCTGGTGGTAGCACCCGTATCGGTCTTCATGGTCTCCATGTAATGTAATGTACATCTGGTGGTAGCCCCCGTATTGGTCTCCATGTAATGTAATGTACATCTGGTGGTAACCCCCGTATCGGTCTCCATGTAATGTGATATTCATCTGGTGGTAGCACCCGTATCGGTCTTCATGTAATGTGATATTCATCTGGTATTCTTGCAAGAAGGCAAGCAGATCAAGTGCACCTACCTGTTGTTATGGATGAATGCCGAATGGAACCAGAAGTAGAAAGCGCAGTTATCGTACCCCTTCGGTACAGTGACCTACAATGGAACCAGAAGTAGAATGCGCAGTTATCGTACCCCTTCGGTACAGTGTCCTACAACGGAAGCAGTTTCGCTAAATCGATCTTACCTACTTACTGATTGTTCTGCGTTAAAGCTTCTAACTGCGAGGTATGTGGACATTCAATAGCATACTGCAATCTGCTAAATATGTACTAATGATCATAAGACTTACACACCGTCACATACTATTCATTCCGACGTTTTATATATCAGTACAGAAACATTTGGCTTAAATTACAACCTGAAACAGTCACAATGGATAGGTTTATCTCTGTTTTGAAATACATGTCTTTAGATTTTATATTCAATTGATATTGTGAAGCACTTTTAAATATAACTGTTAAGGCGTTGCACTTACCGATCTAGAGACTGGCGAAATATAGATATAAGGAGTAAGACTGTTTGAGTACAATACTCACTGACGAAAACATTCCTGAATATGTATGTTACTTACTGCTGAAGACGTGAACCTGACCTTGGTGTCCTCTACTAATATAGGGCAGTTACACAGCATCACCTCTATTCTGTTGTTGTCTTTGTCATGTGTTAGCTATAATTATAGAATCAAGCGTAAACCTATTTAGGTTTTTAAAACAGAATTTTATCTACATACATTACCATGAGAATTTTGGTAGATTATTATAAAAAGATACCAATATTTTACAAATTCATCCACGACACAGCACCAAAAACTGATTAAAGAGACGGTGGCTCAATACCATATAACACATTGCTAACGTCTGATATAAACTTGAAAATCATGTATTCAATGTTTACATGAAACCCACAATCAGGGTTACAAGAACATTCAAGAATATCAAATATATCACTATTGCCTGTGCAACATTAATTCATATGTACTGCAGAACGTAGTACAGAGGCCAGACGTCCTTGCCTCGCAGTTCTTTCCCTTGCCAAAGTTACAGTTGAAGGCCTGTTCTCGTCCGAGGAAGATAGCCATGGATAGGTCGGATCCATCGCCCTTCCCTACAGCTGAAACAGAGACGTTACTGTTGTACATCGATAAAATAAACAAAAAATACGGTTTAAAATGACGGCAGAATAACGATAATCGATAGACGTGATTAGAGAGGCACGGGGAAATAAATGAAAAAACAATTCCAAAGTGAATTATCATTATTGAAGAATTTCTGTCAATTGATGTACCACAACAAAATACATTTTTCGATGTATATTGTATGATTTAGATTATAAATAGATAACACGTGCTTTAAATAATCTATTTTAAAATTCAAAGTTACGAAATGAAAGCACAAGCATAGAACAGACCTATTGATGCTGATGCAGTTTTTTCAACCAAAACGTGTTCCTATTTAGGCGAAGATGATATGTTATTGTATGGCAAAAACGACAACATTAACAAATGCAACTGTAAACAGAAATCGGGCATTTGAACCTTCTGCAACAAAGGAAACCTATCGGTTGCTATGGTAAAGCTAAGGAGGTGCTTTACTCGGACAGAAGCTCTCGATTGTTAAAATGCATTGAATGAAGTGTTATGTTATTTCCTGTGTGGGCATGGGAGCTACACATAGAAAATACTGCGATCGATAAAAACGGAGACCCGGTGTGGTTATTGATGCAGATTCCCGAAAGACCGACAGTGGATGTTTTGTAAGAGTGAGATCTTCTTGTTAGCGGTTCTGACAGTAACAGTGTCCGATCGAAAGGGTAATTTCTGTTTCCCAGACAAGTGTCAAAGCTGACGAGCCTGTCTTTACTTGGAGCACGGCCTAATGCTCCTTACCAAAGCCAGTGATTTAATATATTAAATCGTCCACGTAACTGCGCTCTAAATTGTCCATGAGTGACCGGGATGTCAACTCATTCGCGTGCCAATCAGTTGAATTTAGCTGCACGTGCTGATATAGTGGCTATTCCTCAAACGTAGCATTCGGTGTGACAATAGTCATTTGTCCCTGACATACAGACCAATATCATTTGTCCGTAAGATTTACTTCGATAATACGAAAGGACATAATGTATGTCCGTTACTTTCTGTTTGAGTGTTCCAATCTAACGAAACCATAAATGTCGATTGTTAACCCTTACAAGTCAGCAAACATTTAACGGTATCAAGAAAAAATCGGTGAAAGGTTTGAAACGCGATATATATGTCACTGAAACAGAAGCTAGTATAATTGCGTAACATTTTAACATAATTTCTGGTCCATCCTCAAGCTGAAAATGATTAAAAATGACAACACAGTTAACTGAAAAGAATCCAAAATTAACAGGAAGATATACGTAAAGCTCCTCCATGAAAATCAGAAACGAATCGAGGCGTTCCGGAAGGGAATGCATTTCCTACATCACTTTGCACCAGAAATAATCTGTACTGGTATATCTAGGTTCGAATACACAGTGAAAAAAACCTTTATCACGGTAGACATTGAAATGTGACAACTCGAAACCAGGTCATGATAACGATCATGACACCTACAGCGTCTTTCAGTCCAATAGAAATCCCTGGTTAAACAGTGCACGCCTTGTGACGTTAGGCCATACATACCTTACCGTTATAATCAAGAACACAAATTTTAACCCCATTTTCACGTCCTTTACATTAAAGTGTTTTGTTATCAAAAATAAAGCAGAAGATGATTTAATTTGAGGTCGGGAATAGGAAAATTTGGAAAATTGCTACAACGTTTTGATAGGTTGAGAAACAATTGATTAGTTATTAATCACGGTGTGAGCAGCGTACAACTCGCTGATGTGTCAAATCACTGCTGCAGCTTTAGTGTTACATACCGTTTTATGATAATGTACTTACTCTCAAAACAGTTAGCATTGATTAAATGTCTAACACAAGGTTCCTACAGGGCACGACAAAGAATATATATCAAGTCATTCTAGATCCAAGATTTCGCGCTAAGCCCTTAGTCCCTAATGAAGGGGTAAGCCCAGAATATTGGATCAAGAATGACTGTTGATATTTGTAGTAAACAATTACTTTATTTACGAGTCATAATAGATGTTATTTGATAAAAAAAAAAATCCCACATATGTCCCACGCATTTAACAGAGTATTATAATACTTAATGTCATTGATCCAGCTGTTTAAAACCTCGTTAGTTAAAAAGAGAACTAACTGGACACTGTTATATACAGTATTGAAATTCAGAGCTAGAATTGCATCTATAGAGATTCAAAATCAACATGCAAGACATTAAAAAGTCAATTTTCGAATATTCAAATGTGGATTATAAATGTGTGTGACACGTTAAGCTAACCAGACTGACGACAACGGAGCGCAGATTTCAGCTAGACCACATTTTATAAACTTCATGACACATTCGATTCTGAACCAGATTGTTTCTCAATAGTATTTTACAATTAAGGGTTGTACTATGTTTCTTCAATTTAACAGGGGATTCAAAATCTCAATCATACATGTTTTACTTTTAAATGAAATAATTAAACCAATGTGAAATATAAAGAAATATATAAAAAAAAACTTACAATTCAAAAATATTTCAAAGCTTAACACACACGTGCACACTCACAATTGTTTCAAAACGCATTAGCACGTCAAAATAAAATTTCAATCAATGACATTTTTAGTTAGTTTAACATTTAAAATCAATTGATGCTCAGATACAATTCATTTCCTCTAAGGTCTTGCACAGTTTAAAAGATGGGAGTTGAAAATAAAAAACAATGGCATTGGATTTTAAATGTGTTACTCTAGCGAGGTCTAGAAACGGCCGAAATTTGGCTTCACACAAAAACCTCAGTAATGTATTTTGAGTTCCCTTGAAAAAGTCATCGTTAGAAATATCGAGGTGAATAAACAATTTGTATTGTTTCATCCTGAAATGTTCCTCTTCTTACTTTTGATACCGGTGATCGTAACGGTGGTTATCTTCAATTTGACGATGGCGGGAATCTCATTGTCATAGTCCTTCTTCACTTTCTCATAGTAACCGACATACCGGCTCTGTGGGAATAAATACAGCATGGAATTAGGAAAATAATACGACTTCAGTCGTTTCCTAATGTACGTAAAGTTGGTAGCAAAAATAACAACCACTTAAAATAAGGGCATTGTATAATATAAAGTAAACCATTTACGTTATACGGGTCTCCGGGGAAAAAACAATTAGCGTATTACAGTAACGAGGTATATTCGATAGTTAGTGCAGCACGCTGTACTTATCAACACAGCTGTCGTCGTATAGTACATGTGCTGATGATGGCTATATACTATTCATATAATGTTATCGTTTCTTGGTTACTGTCAGGTTACATGAGTACTGAACTACCTACCAACACGATACACTGATACACTGACCCAGCGGCGATATAAGCCACGTGTAGTAGTTGTATTAGACCACGACCTACTGCTATATAAGCCACGTGTAGCAGTTGTATTAGACGACGACCTATTGTGATATAAGCCACGTTTAGTAGTTGTATTAGACCACGACCTGTTGCGATATAAGCCACGTGTAGTAGCTGTATTATACCACGACCTATTGCGATATAAGCCCCGTGTAGTAGTTGTATTAGACCACGCCCTATTGCGATATAAGCCATGTGTAGAAGTTGTATTAGACCACGACCTATTGTGATATACGTCACGTGTAGTAGTTGTATTAGACCACGCCCTACTGCGATATAAGCCACGTGTAGTAGTTGTATTTGACCACGACCTATTGCGATATTAGCCACGTGTAGTAGTTGTATTAGACCGCGACCTATTGCGATATAAGCCACGTGTGGTAGTTGTATTAGACCACGACCTATTGGGATCCTGAAACACAACGCCTTAATGTCTAATAGTTAGGAATTTCGTCTCATGATCTCGACCAAAAAAATATAATTACTGTTACACAGGTCGAAATTAATCTCAGTTTACACAAATAATTGTATTCTGAAATTAAAAGAGTGTCATTTTCCCCGCAGGTTGTAAAATACATGTTTATATGATCCGCTAGGTATATAAACATATTTATATGATCCGCTAGGTATATAAACATATTTATATGATCCGCTAGGTATATAAATATGTTTATATGATCCGCTAGTAGTAGTTGTATTAGACCACGACCTGTTGCGATATAAGCCACGTGTAGTAGTTGTATTATACCACGACCTATTGCGATATAAGCCGCGTGTAGTAGTTGTATTAGACCACGAACTATTGTGATATAAGCCACGTGTAGTAGTTGTATTAGACCACGACATATTGGAATCCTGAAACACAACGCCTTAATGTCTAATAGCTAGGAATTTCGTCTCATGATCTCGACCAAAAAAATATAATTACTGTTACACAGGTCGAAATTAATCTCATTTTACACAAATAATTGTATTCTTAAATTAAAAGAGTGTCATTTTCCCCGCAGGTTGTAAAATACATGTTTATATGATCCGCTAGGTATATAGATATAAGCCACGTGTAGTAGTTGTATTATACCACGACCTATTGTGATATACGCCACGTGTATTAGTTGTATTAGACCACGACCTATTGCGATATACGTCACGTGTAGTAGTTGTATTAGACCACGCCCTACTGCGATATAAGCCACGTGTAGTAGCTGTATTAGACCACGACCTATTGCGATATTAGCCACGTGTAGTAGTTGTATTAGACAACGACCTATTGCGATATAAGCCACGTGTAGAAGTTGTATTAGACCACGACCTACTGCGATATAAGCCACGTGTAGTAGCTGTATTAGACCACGACCTATTGCGACATAAGCCATGTGTAGTAGTTGTATTAGACCACGAACTATTGTGATATAAGCCACGTGTAGTAGTTGTATTTGACCAAGACCTATTGCCATATAAGCCACGTGTAGTAGATGTATTAGACCACGACCTATTGCGATATTAGCCACGTGTAGTAGTTGTATTAGACAACGACCTATTGCGATATAAGCCCCGTGTAGTAGTTGTATTAGACCACGAGCGCTAGGGATATAAGCGACATGTAGTAGTCGTATTAGACCACGACCTATTGTGATATAAGCCACGTGCAGTAGTTGTATTAGACCACGACCTATTGAGATATAAGCCACGTGTAGTAGTTGTATTTGACCACGACCTATTGCGATATTAGCCACGTGTAGTAGTTGTATTAGACCACGCCCTACTGCGATATACGCCACGTGTAGTAGTTGTATTAGACCGCGACCTATTGTGATATAAGCCACGTGTAGTAGTTGTATTAGACCACGACCTATTGGTATCCTGAAACACAACGCCTTAATGTCTAATAGATAGGAATTTCGTCTCATGATCTCGACCAAAAAAATATAATTACTGTTACACAGGTCGAAATTAATCTCAGTTTACACAAATAATTGTATTCTTAAATTAAAAGAGTGTCATTTTCCCCGCAGGTTGTAAAATACATGTTTATATGATCCGCTAGGTATATAAGCATGTTTATATGATCCGCTAGGTATATAAGCATGTTTATATGATCCGCTAGGTATATAAGCATGTTTATATGATCCGCTAGGTATATAAGCATGTTTATATGATCCGCTAGGTATATAAGCATGTTTATATGATCCGCTAGGTATATAAGCATGTTTATATGATCCGCTAGGTATATAAACATGTTTATATGATCCGCTAGGTATATAAACATGTTTATATGATCCGCTAGGTATATAAACATGTTTATATGATCCGCTAGGTATATAAACATGTTTATATGATCCGCAAGGTATATAAACATGTTTATATGATCCGCTAGGTATATAAACATGTTTTATTTTTGTTTATGTTTATATGATCCGCTAGGTATATAAACATGTTTATGTGATCCGCTAGGTATATAAACATGTTTATATGATCCGCTAGGTATTTAAACATGTTTATATTATCCGCTAGGTATATACTCATGTTTTATTTTTATTTATTTTTATATGATCCGCTAGGCATATAAACATATTTATATACCTAGCGGATAATATAAACATGTTTAAATACCTAGCGGATCGTATAAACATGTTTATATCCCTAGCGGATCATATAAGCATGTTTATATTATCCGCTAGGTATATAAATATGTTTATAGAACTAGAGGATCATATAAATATGTTTATATGATCCGCTAGGTATATAAGCATGTTTATATGATCCGCTAGGTATATACACATGTTTTATTTTTATTTATGTTTATATGATCCGCTAGGTATATAAACATGTTTATATGATCCGCTAGGTATATAAACATGTTTATGTGATCCGCTAGGTATATAAACATGTTTATATGATCCGCAAGGTATATAAACATGTTTATATGATCCGCTAGGTATATAAACATGTTTTATTTTTGTTTATGTTTATATGATCCGCTAGGTATATAAATATGTTTATATGATCCGCTAGGTATATAAACATGTTTATATGATCCGCAAGGTATATAAACATGTTTATATGATCCGCTAGGTGTATAAACATATTTATATGATCCGCTAGGTATATAAGCATGTCTATATGATCCGCTAGGTATATAAACATGTTTATATGATCCGGAAGGTATATAAATATGTTTATATGATCCGCTAGGTATATAAACATGTTTATATGATCCGCTAGGTATATAAACATATTTATATGATCCGCTAGGTATATAAGCATGTCTATATGATCCGCTAGGTATATAAGCAATCACTTTGCGACTTTTTAACATGTACTCTATGTATGTATTTCACTGTGTTTTTCTATTTTGCCTTCAAACTACTTTGTAGTTACAAATGTGCAAATGAAAAAAATTGAATTTGATTTTGAATGTTTATGATCCGCTTATCTAAGTTTGTTATAAAAACTACACAGGTAAAAACCCCAAAACAAAGATCATCGTATCGGGACTAATGCAATACCTTAGAATTCAACTTAAAGCATCTTAAATGTCACATGTTCTATAATACATGAACTGTTATATGCTTGTAGGGGCTATGTTCACGGGTTACAGTAATAAAGCTACAAGCAGATATGTAGCTGAAGACAGAAACAGATTTTGGTCGCTGGTCATGTGGTGTCAGGCTCGTCAATACAGACACAGATTTTGGTCGCTGGTCATGTAGCGTTATATTTTGGTCGCTGGTCATGTGGTGTTTTATTTTGGTCGCTGGTCATGTGGTGTTATATTTTGGTCGCTGGTCATGTGGTGTTAGGCTCGTCAATACAGAGACATGCATTCAAATAAAAAACCGTTTCGGTTTACACTAATTTACGTACAAACACTATTATAAATCAATGTCTTTAGATGACTGAATAAATTTACTTGACGTTCTGTTTTGGATTTCGATATCAATTTAATAATATTTAAGGCAATTTATTGATGTTAAGTCGAGCAAAACAAGCGACAAAAACCAAGATAATTAATTGATGTAAGGTGAAAGTCGACTCGCACTTTTCACACATTGCTAAATATATTTTACAAAGAAAATATTTATTTAGATAAAGAGTTTTGCAATGCTGTAGTAGTGCTCAAGGGACTAATGTCCATATTTCAAATGTCAACCAAATAGTATTTCCTTTTTGAAATCATTCTAGGTAAACAAAAACTATATTGGCAATACGTACATAAACACACATGACATAGAAATGAAATACATGTATTTACAATACATGCATGCCTATGATTTTAACATCACAATTTCTAAAAAAAAATCTCTTAAATCTGGATCGTTATCTGCCGAGGTCATTATGTCACTAAACGAACATAGAAGTCCGCTTTTAAAAAGGTCAATTAAATCAACATTTTTCTTTAACACTGACAACAAATTTGAAAAAGGGCCGAAAACCTTTCAAAGTCCAGAACTCTGTAAGTTGAGATAACAAACTATAAAAAATAGACTATTTTTTTGGAAATAATTATCATTTGTTTGTTGTCCACCAAATTAATTCTGATAAATTGTGGTTTGTCTCCAGTGAGGGTGTTATAGGTGTGTGTATCTAGGAGAGGGCAGGTGGAATTGGTTAATAGTGGTACACGTTACTGTCCTAAGTGGCCATACATGCGGAGAAGAATCAATACGACCAAGGCTAATTTGATGGTAAATAATTCACAGCATTCCTTAATTTCTGTCAGAACAACGTTCGTTCAGTAATAAGCCCAATGCTTAATTATTCATACCGCAAAACTTTCCTAGATCGTCTAACACCACTTTCTATCAAGAATGTATATTTATAGATGAATGGGTTAGATAAGTATTGGGAATATTCCTGTTGAACATATGTGGGTGGTGAGGAAGATGATGCAGATCCACTCTACGGTCCCAGACAACCGGCCAGACACACACATATCCTGATTACTAATATCGACATCGCGGAACAAATTATAGATATGATGAAGAGTTAGGCAAATATTGAGTGAGAACACGGAATCCTCATTTACACTAATCAAACTTTATCGGAGAACTACTGAAACCTAAACCTATGTGTATCCTTTCGCCCTGTGTATTTATTGGTGTAAAATTCTTAAAATATATCTTAAAAACAGTCGGTCAATCTATATAGTTAGTAAACATAAACTCGATTAACGGATCGCAAAATTGTCTCTTCAAAATCGAGGAAATTGATGACTGATAAACTAATCTATAAATTGGGGTAAAGTTAAATTACGGGGCCTACAGAAATATTGCAATACATTATTCATCGTCATAATTGTTTTGGGCAGAATTTTGGATTAATGCTCTGACATAACATATAATATAAAATTAATTGAGTTACAGGAGTGATATTAAAAGACTAACAATAGTTACAAAGATAGGTTAAATCATTTCCACACCACGTCGCATTGTACGTACCTGACTGGGAGTTTCCACACCCTGGAAGGTTTTCCCTACCGACAAGTCAGTTCGCCTCCCCCCAAAGTAGTCCAGGCTTTTCTGATAGGATTGATAGAAAAAATAAATTAACTAAAAACCTGATAGGATTGATAGAAAAATTAAATTAACTATAAAACAAAGTTGAAACGGAAATTAAGTATGCCTTCAGTATCGTTTCAACGAAACGAAAGGATGATATTTGGGATCGGAGTAAAAAAAAAAAAAAAATCTTCAAAAATTATCAAAGATCAACCATCCTCAATTAATACACATCAAACCTTCAGATAGACTTACACCTCTCAGATTAACACTTTAAAGACCCAATAACAACGTACACCAGTATGCTCTTGCCATCAAGAAACAACGTTATGTAAGATGCAACTGAACAGTTTTTATGAAAAAGAAAGAAATTAGAAGCAAGAATATACTACAGTATCATTGTATATTGAGACAAAATAAAGGAACCGGAAGTCAATGTTACATAAAATAGGATCCCGAAGTCAATATTACATAATAGTATGCCCTTATTTACCGCCAACACATTATTTTTTATCCCTTTTTTCTCGTTTTCTTAAGAATTTCTTAATATTCTTTCCTCAATTTATCGCTTAACCCCTTTATGATGCCAAATTTCCTTTGAAAAATAATGGCAATATAACGAGATTTTACTGTATTGTCATTACATAGAAGGTACTATATTGTGCGCCATATGTGGAACCTGTCTTGTATGTTTCCTTTCAAATACAGGAGAGTACTACAGCCACTAACTCTCTTAAATACAGTTTTTTTCAACTTATATGCTGTTGAATACCGAAACCTAGCTCGAATTCGATGTAGTTATTGATCAATCAATCTAAGGGTAATATTTCATGGCCTAACAGAAATACAGGTAAGTATATCAACCGTGACGTTGGGTGTTTGGACTCACTTCCGCCTCCTCGAACATTTCACAGTCGACCAGCCAGGTACAGATCATGGTTCCGGTCCGCCCTTTACCACCTTTACAGTGGACAGCGATCACGTTGGTGTCGTCCTCAGACAGGAACACCCGCACATCGTCACAGAACTTCACCAGGTCTCTGTAATATACACAACTAGGTCACATAATGATACCAAATCGTCACAAAACTCCACCAGGTCTCTGTCATATACACAACTAGGTCACATAATGATACCACATCGTCACAAAACTTCACCAGGTCTATGTAATATACACAACTAGGTCACATAATGATACCAAATCGTCACAAAACTTCACCAGGTCTCTGTCATATACACAACTAGGTCACATAACGATACCAAATCGTCACAAAACTTCACCAGGTCTCGGGCATATACACAACTAGGTCACATAATGATACAACATCGTCACAGAACTTCACCAGGTCTCTGTCATATACACACCTAGGTCACATAATGATACCACATCGTCATAGAACTTCACCAGGTCTCTGTAATATACACAACTAGGTCACATAATGATCCCACATCGTCACAGAACTTCACCAGGTCTCTGTCATATATACAACTAGGTCACATAATGATACCACACCGTCACAGAACTTCACCAGGTCTCTGTCATATATACAACTAGGTCACATAATGATACCACACCGTCACAGAACTTCACCAGGTCTCTGTCATATACACAACTAGGTCACATAATGATACCACATCGTCACAGAACTTCACCGGGTCCCTGTAATATATACAACTAGGTCACATAATGATACCACATCGTCATAGAACTTCACCAGGTCTCTGTAATATACACAACTAGGTCACATAATGATACCACACCGTCACAGAACTTCACCAGGTCTCTGTCATATACACAACTAGGTCACATAATGATACCACATTGGTCACTGTAAATAACACACCTACGTCACAGTACAGACATATAGTTGTTCAATGTTAAAACACAAACATAGGTTACTGTCATAAAGGTATATCTTTCACCTGTGGCCGGGAATCGTGACGAATTATAAAGGTTTTGAATGTACAGTAATTGAATATACATGTTTAAATGAAAATACACACGCAACATTCATTGATTTGATTTTTTTAAAGGAACAATTAAAAATACTTTACACAGCAATAATAAGTCATTAGGTACCAGTGTTAAGGGAATAGCAGGTATGATAGAGATATTCTAGGTTTCGTTCCAAATAACAATTGTCCTTAAAAAGAGTTTAATACCAATTCTAAAACAGACAAAGATCAATTTTCAAGTTTGGGATCGTATTTCATACTCCTATAGTTCTTGGCCTCCTCGTTGCCTCTTCTGATCACATAATAGTACTCAGCTGAAATTTTGATATTGTAAATGCAGAGTGCGCACGCGCACCATAACCAATCAGGACACCATCGTTTATGTACCTAAGCTGTAAAGTTGACTATTCTAAATAATAACCTGCCCTTGGTCTTACAGTAAATAGTTTTGAATTACTGATGAATTACCTGAATTTTAATATTTTGACCCGCAAAATCTTCTCCAATAACTCAAGATGTTTTTTTGCTAGGCGGTGCCTATGGACTGACACACTTCATGCCAGGATTACACGTATCTTTGTTGTAATGATGTAGACAGGGACCTATCACAGGTTTAACAGTATCGTCTGTAGGAATGAATCCGTGCTATGCATCTGTAATATGTGTAACCACGGTCTGTCTAGAAGGTAGATCTGTATTGTATCAATACACGATTTACTTGTTTCCAGTTTTTGTATTATACCTAAACACGCCAGTGGCACGACATCTTTTAAAATCCATAAAGTACTCATGATCCTGAGATGACAGATACCTAATTGAAATAGTTGGATTAATGGTTGATATATTGAATAAGTAATCGTATAGTTTTGCACTTGCGATTTAATGAGACTGTAAAAAAAATCTCCGAAACAGCGGCTACATTCGTTAGATAGTGAGGCGAACAGAGAAGAGATTTGTGACCAAAAGGTCTTTCACAGAATAGCATCATACATCGGTTCATGACAAAAGACAATTGGGAGTTCAGCATTGTTGTAAAGGACATCGTTACAGTGGAGTCGAGGGACAGAGACAGATCCTAACTCTAGATTAACACATACACGATCAACGTTCACGTTCACCAGTGCTAGTTCTGATGAAGAGTTATATATTGTCACGCGGTAGAATGTTTCACCGATGCCGATACCCGACACTCGAATTAACTTGGGGACATGAAAATAATGAAACATTCATTGTAGCTACATTATCAGGACCAAACGTTCTACAACACGAGTATTGCGGTGCGCAAATGTCCACTCTGTTCACTTTCACTGCACTGGAAAGTACACACCGCCAGTAGATAGTACCAAGGATCATCGCACCACTGCTGTTACTGTTACTATACACTGTAAAGTACACACCACCAGTAGATAGTACCAAGGATCACCGCACCACTGCCGTTACTGTTACTATACACTGTACAGTACACACCACCAGTGGATAGTACCAAGGATCACTGCCGTTACTGTTACTTTACACTGTAAAGTACACACCACCAGTGGATAGTACCAAGGATCACTGCCGTTACTGTTACTTTACACTGTAAAGTACACACCGCCATTGGATAGTACCAAGGATCACCGCACCACTGCCGTTACTGTTACTTTACACTGTAAAGTCCACACCACCAGTAGATAGTACCAAGGATCACAGCACCACTGCCGTTACTGTTACTATACACTGTAAAGTACACACCACCAGTAGATAGTACCAAGGATCACAGCACCACGGCCGTTACTGTTACTATACACTGTAAAGTACACACCACCAGTAGATAGTACGAAGGATCACCGCACCACTGCCGTTACAGTTACTATACACTGTACAGTACACACCACCAGTGGATAGTACCAAGGATCACTGCCGTTACTGTTACTTTACACTGTAAAGTACACACCGCCAGTGGATAGTACCAAGGATCACCGCACCACTGCCGTTACTGTTACTATACACTGTAAAGTACACACCACCAGTGGATAGTACCAAGGATCACCGCACCACTGCCGTTACTGTTACTATACACTGTAAAGTACACACCACCAGTGGATAGTACCAAGGATCACCGCACCACTGCCGTTACTGTTACTATACACTGTAAAGTACACACCACCAGTGGATAGTACCAAGGATCACCGCACCACTGCCGTTACTGTTACTATACACTGTAAAGTACACACCACCAGTGGATAGTACCAAGGATCACCGCACCACTGCCGTTACTGTTACTATACACTGTAAAGTACACACCACCAGTGGATAGTACCAAGGATCACCGCACCACTGCCGTTACTGTTACTATACACTGTAAAGTACACACCACCAGTGGATAGTACCAAGGATCACCGCACCACTGCCGTTACTGTTACTATACACTGTAAAGTACACACCACCAGTGGATAGTACCAAGGATCACCGCACCACTGCCGTTACTGTTACTATACACTGTAAAGTACACACCACCAGTGGATAGTACCAAGGATCACCGCACCACTGCCGTTACTGTTACTATACACTGTAAAGTACACACCACCAGTGGATAGTACCAAGGATCACCGCACCACTGCCGTTACTGTTACTATACACTGTAAAGTACACACCACCAGTGGATAGTACCAAGGATCACCGCACCACTGCCGTTACTGTTACTATACACTGTAAAGTACACACCACCAGTGGATAGTACCAAGGATCACCGCACCACTGCCGTTACTGTTACTATACACTGTAAAGTACACACCACCAGTGGATAGTACCAAGGATCACCGCACCACTGCCGTTACTGTTACTATACACTGTAAAGTACACACCACCAGTGGATAGTACCAAGGATCACCGCACCACTGCCGTTACTGTTACTATACACTGTAAAGTACACACCACCAGTGGATAGTACCAAGGATCACCGCACCACTGCCGTTACTGTTACTATACACTGTAAAGTACACACCACCAGTGGATAGTACCAAGGATCACCGCACCACTGCCGTTACTGTTACTATACACTGTAAAGTACACACCACCAGTGGATAGTACCAAGGATCACCGCACCACTGCCGTTACTGTTACTATACACTGTAAAGTACACACCACCAGTGGATAGTACCAAGGATCACCGCACCACTGCCGTTACTGTTACTATACACTGTAAAGTACACACCACCAGTGGATAGTACCAAGGATCACCGCACCACTGCCGTTACTGTTACTATACACTGTAAAGTACACACCACCAGTGGATAGTACCAAGGATCACCGCACCACTGCCGTTACTGTTACTATACACTGTAAAGTACACACCACCAGTGGATAGTACCAAGGATCACCGCACCACTGCCGTTACTGTTACTATACACTGTAAAGTACACACCACCAGTGGATAGTACCAAGGATCACCGCACCACTGCCGTTACTGTTACTATACACTGTAAAGTACACACCACCAGTGGATAGTACCAAGGATCACCGCACCACTGCCGTTACTGTTACTATACACTGTAAAGTACACACCACCAGTGGATAGTACCAAGGATCACCGCACCACTGCCGTTACTGTTACTATACACTGTAAAGTACACACCACCAGTGGATAGTACCAAGGATCACCGCACCACTGCCGTTACTGTTACTATACACTGTAAAGTACACACCACCAGTGGATAGTACCAAGGATCACCGCACCACTGCCGTTACTGTTACTATACACTGTAAAGTACACACCACCAGTGGATAGTACCAAGGATCACCGCACCACTGCCGTTACTGTTACTATACACTGTAAAGTACACACCACCAGTGGATAGTACCAAGGATCACCGCACCACTGCCGTTACTGTTACTATACACTGTAAAGTACACACCACCAGTGGATAGTACCAAGGATCACCGCACCACTGCCGTTACTGTTACTATACACTGTAAAGTACACACCACCAGTGGATAGTACCAAGGATCACCGCACCACTGCCGTTACTGTTACTATACACTGTAAAGTACACACCACCAGTGGATAGTACCAAGGATCACCGCACCACTGCCGTTACTGTTACTATACACTGTAAAGTACACACCACCAGTGGATAGTACCAAGGATCACCGCACCACTGCCGTTACTGTTACTATACACTGTAAAGTACACACCACCAGTGGATAGTACCAAGGATCACCGCACCACTGCCGTTACTGTTACTATACACTGTAAAGTACACACCACCAGTGGATAGTACCAAGGATCACCGCACCACTGCCGTTACTGTTACTATACACTGTAAAGTACACACCACCAGTGGATAGTACCAAGGATCACCGCACCACTGCCGTTACTGTTACTATACACTGTAAAGTACACACCACCAGTGGATAGTACCAAGGATCACCGCACCACTGCCGTTACTGTTACTATACACTGTAAAGTACACACCACCAGTGGATAGTACCAAGGATCACCGCACCACTGCCGTTACTGTTACTATACACTGTAAAGTACACACCACCAGTGGATAGTACCAAGGATCACCGCACCACTGCCGTTACTGTTACTATACACTGTAAAGTACACACCACCAGTGGATAGTACCAAGGATCACCGCACCACTGCCGTTACTGTTACTATACACTGTAAAGTACACACCACCAGTGGATAGTACCAAGGATCACCGCACCACTGCCGTTACTGTTACTATACACTGTAAAGTACACACCACCAGTGGATAGTACCAAGGATCACCGCACCACTGCCGTTACTGTTACTATACACTGTAAAGTACACACCACCAGTGGATAGTACCAAGGATCACCGCACCACTGCCGTTACTGTTACTATACACTGTAAAGTACACACCACCAGTGGATAGTACCAAGGATCACCGCACCACTGCCGTTACTGTTACTATACACTGTAAAGTACACACCACCAGTGGATAGTACCAAGGATCACCGCACCACTGCCGTTACTGTTACTATACACTGTAAAGTACACACCACCAGTGGATAGTACCAAGGATCACCGCACCACTGCCGTTACTGTTACTATACACTGTAAAGTACACACCACCAGTGGATAGTACCAAGGATCACCGCACCACTGCCGTTACTGTTACTATACACTGTAAAGTACACACCACCAGTGGATAGTACCAAGGATCACCGCACCACTGCCGTTACTGTTACTATACACTGTAAAGTACACACCACCAGTGGATAGTACCAAGGATCACCGCACCACTGCCGTTACTGTTACTATACACTGTAAAGTACACACCACCAGTGGATAGTACCAAGGATCACCGCACCACTGCCGTTACTGTTACTATACACTGTAAAGTACACACCACCAGTGGATAGTACCAAGGATCACCGCACCACTGCCGTTACTGTTACTATACACTGTAAAGTACACACCACCAGTGGATAGTACCAAGGATCACCGCACCACTGCCGTTACTGTTACTATACACTGTAAAGTACACACCACCAGTGGATAGTACCAAGGATCACCGCACCACTGCCGTTACTGTTACTATACACTGTAAAGTACACACCACCAGTGGATAGTACCAAGGATCACCGCACCACTGCCGTTACTGTTACTATACACTGTAAAGTACACACCACCAGTGGATAGTACCAAGGATCACCGCACCACTGCCGTTACTGTTACTATACACTGTAAAGTACACACCACCAGTGGATAGTACCAAGGATCACCGCACCACTGCCGTTACTGTTACTATACACTGTAAAGTACACACCACCAGTGGATAGTACCAAGGATCACCGCACCACTGCCGTTACTGTTACTATACACTGTAAAGTACACACCACCAGTGGATAGTACCAAGGATCACCGCACCACTGCCGTTACTGTTACTATACACTGTAAAGTACACACCACCAGTGGATAGTACCAAGGATCACCGCACCACTGCCGTTACTGTTACTATACACTGTAAAGTACACACCACCAGTGGATAGTACCAAGGATCACCGCACCACTGCCGTTACTGTTACTATACACTGTAAAGTACACACCACCAGTGGATAGTACCAAGGATCACCGCACCACTGCCGTTACTGTTACTATACACTGTAAAGTACACACCACCAGTGGATAGTACCAAGGATCACCGCACCACTGCCGTTACTGTTACTATACACTGTAAAGTACACACCACCAGTGGATAGTACCAAGGATCACAGCACCACTGCCGTTACTGTTACTATACATTGTAAAGTACACACCACCAGTGGATAGTAACAAGGATCACCGCACCACTGCCGTTACTGTTACTATACACTGTAAAGTACACACCACCAGTGGATAGTAACAAGGATCACAGCACCACTGCCGTTACTGTTACTATGCACTGTAAAGTACACACCACCAGTGGATAGTACCAAGGATCACTGCACCACTTCCGTTACTGTTACTATACATTGTAAAGTACACACCACCAGTAGATAGTACCAAGGATCACAGCACCACTGCCGTTACTGTAACTAGGCTCTGGAAACGTTTTCCCTGCAAGGGTATAGTTTTGATAAATCATTTATAAAAACGAAATTTATACCTTGCAGAATTTATAACGCTGAAATGGCAAATTACAATCAACAACGTAACAGTGTTCTAAATGCGAAACATCAGCGGGTTCCAACCATGGACTTCAGATTGTTATTCTGTCGCTCGAATCTACTAAGCTACCTAGTCAACGGAAGTGACCTCGCCCAACAATGCTACAGCTTTATCTAAAACAAAATTAAGAGGAGGTACTCTGAAAAAGAAACTCACATTGGAATTATATCTAGTGTGTTTCCTGCAGTGGGATAGAGACCCTTCTTTGAATACTTACTCTAGTGTTGGGACGTTGTGATCGTCTATGTAAACTCTCTCTACCCTGTCGTGGAACAGTTCGGTCGGGTAATTTCGTTCACCTAGCAGAATAAAAACCCAATCATCTTAATGGAACATTGCTATTTAAAAATAAAGCTGGTCATCTAGTTTTTCTGGTTGTATAAACATTATAATTTATAGCATATAGTAAAATGTGAAGCTTTCACATTCGATAGGGGTACGTAGTAAACAGCATCACCAGGTATTAAGAAGGGGAAGCAAAACTTCTAAACAATTATGATCTGGCCGGAAAATAACAAAAGAAGTTTCGATCCGAAAGGTACCGTTGTTTTAGCCTATTACGTCTGGAATTGGGACTTCTCTGTCTCCAGTGCAAAGGTCTGTCTGTTTCTAATTATCAGACGGTCTCATCCCAAAATATATCTGTGTTTACAAGTCTGGGGAAGTCGCCGAACAATGATATCAGAAAAATGATACCTGTTTCATATCCACGCTTCTTCGATATAAAACAGAGAGTCATTGATTTGGTTAGACATCAGGAATATCTCCTAAGCACAAACCTTATGACTTTGATGTCCCGGGACTATATCTACACGAGATGCCCGCCACCATCAGTACATATGTACGCCGTGTAGGTTACATAAGCCAGCTGGGGCGCCTACTCTTCTAACACCGATAACAGGTGTAAACGCATGTACACCACACGGGATGCATGTGCAGTTAGCGCACTCATCTATACCATACAATTGGGAGCAGAAACGCCTGAATCATGTTCCATGTTTGGAGAATTATTATAGAAAATAATTTCAACCAAGATACTTGTTTTCATGGAACAAAGTTTTAGGTTATATACACATGTAAATAATGACGATCGTTTTCTAATTTGAAATATTCACAATGATTAATAAAATTCTGAGTTTATCTGTACAGTGTTATAAGGTCCTGCATGACGTCATTTCTTGAAACTGTTCTTGATAGGACCCGATATTAAGCCAATAATACAGACATTCCCTTATATAATTAATTCCACCGCATGACCCAGACACTTTAATACCGAAAATATAAGGGAATTCCTTTATGTAGTTCAGTACTCGCTATATAATTTAGAATGTAAAAGTTATTTATTGAACAGAATTCATTCATGTTCATCCCGGGTTTCATGGAACCTCGACTGCTGGGAGATGACAGTCGACTGCTGTGAGATGGGAGTCGACTACTGTGAGGTGAGAGTCGACTGCTGTGAGATGAGTCAACTGCTGGGAGATGGGAGTCGACTGCTGGGAGATGAGAGTCGACTGCTGGGAGATGAGAGTCGACTGCTTGGAGATGAGAGTCGACTGCTTGGAGATGAGAGTCGACTGCTGGGAATTGAGAGTCGACTGCTGGGAGATGGGAGTCGACTGCTGGGAGATGAGAGTCGACTGCTGGGAGATGAGAGTCGAATGCTGTGCACTTTTGTTTTATATTTAACATAAGTAATCTATGTATCGACAGTCATCTCAATAATGTAATTTGTGTTCATACTGGCATAAACATAAAAAGTTGCCGTTCATTCCTGATCTACTCACTCTTTCTTATTATCTATACACATCCCTTTTGATGTTCCTATTCTATGTAACATTATTCGCAACATTTCCTTACATAAAATGCAGCTATTAGGAACTGGTAAATTATAAAAGTGATAAAGATACAACATTTTTACCAGGAAAATATTTAGCCGCTAAAACACCAGATAAGCTCGAAGATCGTGCCTAATCCCTGTATATCGGGCAGCATTGTCTAAATGTTGATGAAACATGGCATACTTTCGTTGAAGGTTTCAGCGTTTTGTTAACTTTGACTAATAGCCTTGTGAGCACTGGGTGAGAACAAAGATGTAGTCTGTTACTTTGACTAAAAAATATGATGAAAAGACGGCAAGAAAGTACCCAAGATGAAATCAATTCCCGTTGTAATTTCCTCAAAAATATTTTCTGCCAAGAAGCTGTCAATCAGCACGACCTTTCGTGTAATTAGCAAATAACTCCACCGTGGGTAAATAACTTAACAATGGGGAACTAAAAACAGTAAACTCTAGTGTGAGGAATGCTGGGATCCTATAAACATAACCGCGACGATATACAGTTACACCACACTATGGAGACACATCTTTGTCTTACGCCATGAATTTAAAATATCAATCTTATCAAAGTTACATATTGAAAGCGTGTATGTGTTCGTCAATATACTGTTCTACAGGCCGATACTATGAGTAATAATGATGTATACGTACTACACAAGTCATACACCTTGTAGTGGTCTGGGTGTTTGGTGTTGAGGAACCTGGCCACTTCCTGTAAAGCAAGCAAGTTACAACATTAACATTAAACAACGATAGAGAAGACTATTCAACCATGTCCTGTAAATCAAGAACGTCACAATACTTAACAGCAATACAGAAGGTTAGCTGGCCATTTCCTGTAAAACAAGGACGTCACAATACTTAACAGCAAAACAGAAGGTTAGCTGGCCATTTCCTGTAAAATCAGGAGTTTGGAGGATTTAACACGGGCACAATTTAATAGTATCCTGTGTTACAAGCACACTTTAGCATGCGACAGCTGCAAAGAACATTTTAGCATTAGACAGCGGTACAGAACGTAATTTAGCCCCCTCAGCAGAAGTTGGTTAATTTTCAACTTTTAAAGAAAACAAAATCTGAAACTTGTTCTATGTTTAAATATTTGATAAAAGTTAGATAAACTTCATAAGCTAACGGCGCGTCACGCCCTGTTGGAATTTGTTTGAGGGGATATTTATCCGTATTTTAATTTATTTTGTTACCTCTGATGAGTGTCTAAAGGTCAAAGAGCTCTAATCTTCAAACCACCACCGCCTTTGGAGTTAAGGAATATATCAAACAATCAACACAAACGTCTTTTAATTGACTGGGAGGTAATGTCAGAACAACCGATACAGTTCACAATCGGGTGCTAGAGATACGGAGACAATCCCAGAACAACCGATACAGTTCACAATCGGGTGCTAGAGATACGGAGACAAT